ATCTTAGTTCAAGGCAAAATTTTTGGTCTTAGCAGATTTCTATTTTGTGGTCATTTTTGCATTACATATAGATGATGAGTTTTATTTTCATACACTTTCTATGAAGAGGCTCACTTTGAGAAGCTAGAGGCTACCAGACTATATAGAACTTATTTCAAAATGAGTTAGCATATGCAAAGTACTTTGCAAACCTTGAAGCATTACATAAATATTAGTTGTTGTTATTGTTGTAATAAATTTCCTGACTTATGAGGACAAAGAGAACATTTCTTCATTTCTTGCCCAGAGAAAGCAGCATCTGGTTAATTTAGGCATCATTGTTTCACAGAATGAAGGCTATAGAGGAGGAAGCTTAACTTAATGGATTGATACTGGACTTGGAGTCAGGAATATCTGAGTCCAAAAGTTACCTCTGACATCTTTTGGCTCTGTGACCCCAAATAAATCATTTCATCTCTTTCAGTCTCAGGCATCTCTTCAAGCCTCTAAGTTATAGGTAGGAAAGGAGTTTGTCATTCTGTGAAATCACAGGCCCTTAACTTATGAAAGCTTTAGTCCATGATTATACTAACAAGCTTTATCTTCATAATTAAATGGTATTGACCTCTATACTGAGTTCTAAACTGACATGATTTGAAATTTATACAATTAATATTTAGTAACTAGCGAAGTAGCACAGGATGACTTGTTTGCTTCTCTTCTTTCCAGGCTTGCTTGCTGAATTTGAACTGAGTTCTGGATCAACTGGGGCTAGTAGCTACTGTATAAAAAAAAAATCTATTATAGCATCTAGTGATGGGAAGAACCTTAGAGATCATCTAGCCCAATTTCCCCTTTTTCCCGACAAGGAAACTAAAACCTAGAATAGAGATGTGACATGCCTAAGGTCACAGAAACATAGAACTTGAGAACTGGAAGGAATCATGGCATAGACACCAAAAGAATCCCCAGTCTAATATATCAGATAAGTGATATCCATTGTCTGTTTGAACACTTCCAAGGATTCACTTCTGCTAGAGACAGCTCATTCCACTTTGGGGCATCTTTAGTCATTATGATATTTTTCCTGAGATCAAGGCTTTATTTGCCTCTTTGCCACTTCCACGCTTTGCTCCTGGTTCCTCCCTCCAGGACCAAACAAGTTTAATCCCCTTCCATGGGTCATCCCTTCAGGTGATTGAAAAGAGCTATCATTTCCCTCTTATCTCCTCTTCTCTAGGCAGACAGATAGAGATATGTATATAGATACAGATGATGTAGATATGACAGAGTTGGTATCATGCCTCATCAGTATACTGTGCCTTTCAATTGGAGAGTGCTGGAGTGAGTAGCAAAGAACTTCTAAAGTGTCTGTTTTAAGCGTTCTCAGGCAAGTCATCTCTCTCTCTCTCTCCACACACACACACACACACACACACAACACACACACATATACATACACACATATATTATATATGCACACATATATAATATATTACCCCATACAATAAATGGCATGTTACACATATGTGATATGGTACCAGTCCAATCTGGGTCAACCTGATCCAGTCCAATTCAGGACGATCCAATCTGGTCCAATCCAGTCCAATCTAGTTTAATCCAGTCCAATCAGGTACTGGTCCAATCTGGTCTAATACAGTCCATATTACACATTTGATATGGCACTTATTACATGCTAGCAATGTAAATGATTATGCTTGCATTATTTATGTTATATATTGTGTATTATATGTGTTAAATATGTTATATGTGCATGTTAAATATGTTACAGTACTATCCCAAATGCTGTATTTGTTAGTCATACATATCTTGTATATTACATGTACATATATATGTATATAGATAGAGCTATGGAAAAGATGTACATATAGATAAATAAATAGCTATAAATATACATATAGATGCTAAACACACCCTGTTCCTTCACTGTTCTTTGGATGATAGGGACTCAAGGTCCTTCACCATCCTAGTTGTCCTTGTCTCCAATTTATCGATATCCTTCTTAAACTTGGGTGCCCAGAAGATAATATAGGAACTTCGACAATTGGTAATAACTAAACTTGCTCCAGAGTAGAAACTGTAGCAGCTATTCATTGAAGGTTCAGGTGGCCTTCAACAACCATGGCCACCCTCCAGTAATCCATCCTGCTCTTGCTCTGTAGAAATGGGCAACAGTCATGAATTATGATTTCTGTCTCATCAAATAGCATTTGTAAAGGGTACACTGTTACGTGGCACTGTTGGAGGTGCTGTTGAAAGGGAGTTAAGGTGCAGCAAGATGACTGCCTGCTAAGAATTTAATAAACTAAGCAATTACTGATAGTTAAACACTGTTGGGTTGTATTTTCTTATGTCAGAAGACTGCTGTGAATTAGAGAAAGCATATATTACTGCTATGAACCAATCCCTGCTTTTGAACTTCAAGGGGTTGTTTCTATGGGGGTAATTTTTTTTTTTGGAGGGGAGGGTGGTGGTGTTAGCTGAAACTTGAGGGTCATTTACAGAACTATACTGCACATAATCACCAAGATGATTTGTGATAGGGAGTATAATTCAAAGAATTTATGTAATACATTAAAAGCATATAGTAACACAATGTCAAACAAATTTAAGGCAAATTTATCTTTAATAGGGTAGGAAAGTAGGAAATTGTCAGCATCCTTTCATATCCAGTCCCTAAACTCTAATGTCTTTAACCAGACCCCCAAATGTGGCATAAGGGAAAGGCTGAGACATACATTTCATTGAAATCTTGGACTGTAGTTACAAAACCTTAGGTTTTAGGGCAAGATGGATGATGAAAACCTGTGGTTGCCATGGGATAGTTAATAATAATTACCAGCTTAATTTTGCCGTGTAAAATCACTTACTTTTGGGCTGCATTGTTGCAAACAAACATTTAGAAATGAATTAGCTAGGCTCAGGCATTCAATTTAAAAAAAGTCAGAACTTGTTTATGTTACAATCTTTATTTCAAGCCAAAAGGTGTTTTTTTTTTGTTTTTTTTTTTTGCCACGTTTAAAGAACTTCCTGCTTCCTAATAGTGGAATACACCAAATGATGGCTAAACCCTACCTATGTTTAATTCCTTCTAATATCAAACAGAGAAACAATAGTAAATAGGGTGGGAAAGTTGTAGGTTGATTTAGTTAATGCCTTAGAAACTGCAGGGCAGAAGGAGAGGGAATTGTTCCCGAAGAGTGACAGCACCACACAGGAATGGCAGCCATGGGAGATGGATAGATGCCAAGGATACATACCAATGGTGAAAAGCGTAGGTGGTCATCCTCCCCTGATCCCCTTCCCTCTACTCCCAGCACTATCTCCAGCTCTACCAGCATGCTAGGGGCTCAAACATGCAACAAGCTGCACACTCTGACCTAAGGCCTTAAACCACTCAGGAGTCATTTACACAGAATTTAGACAAAGAGCTGATGTGGCACTAGTAGAAAACTGTGCCATCATCCATGAGGCAAAGCAGTACCTAGAACACTGATATCCTATCACTGTTGCCACCTCTAATCCCCATAGAACATGTGTGTTTTCAACCAATTATTTGGCCTAATTCTCTGTTTTATTGCACAGGATTTTAATATGTAAAAGGCTGAAGAGATAATGGATTCTAGTTTCCTGTAAAAATTGAAAAAAAATGCCCAGGCACAATTTTCCATGTTGTACTTATTGGCATCTAGTTTATAGGAACAAATGGAATAGGCATTTCTGAAAGGGAAATGTAAACATGACACTAGATTTTGGTGCCCCAATTTCATGGCTGCTGGGAGCTGACAGCAACTCCATAAAGGTTAAACATGTGTGTTTTGGACTGTCAGTAAAATTAAGTCTTCTACCAAGTGCGTGGCACTGCAGAAGACAAAGGTTTATCTATGTGAATAAACTGAATGTACAGCTCAATACATTTATGTTTGTAGGACTCTTTAAAGCATTATAAAGTCTGGCTAATTACAATAAAAATGCAGACGGAGCTATCAGAACCATCAAGCTGCCTGCTTGTATTCAGAGGCTCTCCAGAGCTGGCAAGGTGATGTCAGGAAAGTTAAACTTGAAGAATGAGGCTTGGTTTTCTAAATGAGATCAGGGAAAAAAGAAGGAAAGTTAATAGGAGAAATCAAGACTGAAACAATCAGCATTACTGGTCTGTTTGCCATGGAGACTAAAAATCATATCTTTCTGCCATATTCTAAAATTGCTCTGTCAAGAAATTCATATTGTTGGACACTTTTAAAAAATTTTATTTACCCTTTAATATATCTGCTGTTAGTACAACTTTTCAGTATTTGAAATTATATTGTTAATACAAAATAGGAATCTACCCCTATGCTTCTTGCTAGCAAAATGTCCATTAAAGATTGCCTTTCTAAGATGCACTTGGAAAAAGAGTCCAATTCCTTCTTGGTGTCTCTTTGCACGGATATGACTTCTGAGAATCCAGGGTCTCGCCTCTGTTTGAGGAATTAATTAAGGGAAAAAAAAGCAAAAATAGACTTAAAAATTCATAGCTAGGCCCTGGTGGATAATTTTTCATCCAATCCCCTTTGTAAGAGCCTGAAAGTGCCAGGTGTAAGTAGGCCTATATGGATACACACACACACACACACACACACACACACACACACACACACACACATATATATATATATATATATATATATAAATATATATATGTATTTATTTGGAACATCTTTACCCCCTCCATAATGAAAGTTGTTTACAGATTTTATTGGCATTTTTCATGGGAACTAATGATTCTTTTTACACATTCTTTTCTTTCCACATTTTCAGACTTCCACTTTCATTACCTTCCTGGAATGGGCATTTCTTTTTTGTTGTGATTGTGCACATGAGGTACTCAAAACCACATCATAGTGTCATAGTTTTAGAGCTAGAAGGGATGTCAGAGGTTACCTAGTCCAACTCCTTCATCTTACAGATGAGGAAACTAAGGCCCAGTGATGCTGAAGTGATTTGCCCAGAGTCACATGTGTAATAAGTGGGAGAGCTGGGATTTGAATTTAAGTCTTCTGTGTCCAAATTCAATGTTCCTTCCACTATACCATGTCCCATAAAGCAGCTAATGTTTGCACATTTGGAGGAATGGGAGCCATTTATGTGTTCATATTTACCTTTACAGAAAGCAAGATATGTTTGTTCAGTTTTACCTGTACTAGCAGACATCTGGGTATTATATATTAATATTAACGTCCTTTTCTGCCACTGAAACCTTACTATGATTTGTCTTCAAGGCATGGCGGTGACACTGGGTTCTTGAAGGTACTGTCAGTAGAGTGGAAGTTCTAACAAGTCCTACCAAGATGGTGGAACTTTCAGTGCATCTCAGTAGGCCTGGAAATAGATACGATGCCTATCTTCTGAGATCCAGACCAGCTTAAATGAAGAGGTCCTTCAGCAGATGATTGACTACCAGCTGCTGCTGATTTTCATCCACGACAGTTCCTGAGGGCTTTTTACCAAGTTGGGAGAAGGTTAAGAGTTGCATCCATGGCAGAGTTCCCCCACTGGCTGAGTCACGCATTCTCAAAGTGTTTTGAAACATTGAAGTATGTAGTCTAGGAACCTCTATTTGGGAGAAGGAAAGGGGAAAGGCAATTCCTCATTTGACTTACTGGTGGCATGGAATTTTTTTCCTTAATACTGTTATCATTAAACTATTTATGATGTAATATTTTCCTCATCACATCAGCATTTCTCACTGCAAAACACTTCTAGAGAAAACAACCCTTTGGTGCAGTATAAGCCAGGATTGAAATCTATAATATGTTTGCATTTTTAAAAATGTGTATAAATATCACTGTGCTTCAAGAATATAAAAAATTGGTTATACTTCTTTGTGAATTAATCTCCAAGAAAGTGAACTATGTTCTGGAATGCAATTAATATTCTGAACAGAATGGAGATAATTCATTTTACCTGATCTCCTCATTCCCACAAACTTCTGGTGCCGAATCCTGAACCATTTGGAAACCCAAACTCTATAACAGGAGGACACAAGTAGCTTCAACTTGGAAATTATAAAGTGAAGGCAGAGGAAGATGTAACTCTTGGCAAAACCCTATATATATTGATTGGTATTTGCTGTTGCCTAAGTCATTTCATCCTTATCTAGAGCATATCCTCTTGAGTTTCCTCAGCGAAACATTTAAAGCTTATTATCTTCATTAAGAAAACATTACATTCTTGCTACTTTTCTGCTTTAATACTGTACAAATTATGCATCTACTATATTATTTTCAAAATAGCTGCTGACACAATATTTCAAGGATGCTATTTACTAAAATACTATTTCAGGGTATACGAAAGCATTAAATGGTGTTATTTAAGGAATGAATTAGTTAGGTTAATACTATAAGCATTTTTCCCCATCTCTTTATATTTTTCATTTTTCCCTCTTCCTCTCATTCCCTGTCCCCTTTCCTACTTCTACTTATCTCTCTCTCTACCACTTTTCCTCTGTCTCTCTTTTTTTCTTCTTTTGCTTTGACTCATTAGGCCTGCCTATACTTTTTTCTTTTTCTCTCTTTCTTTTTGATGACTTCTCCATTTGTAATACAATACAGTAGTTTCTTTTAAGTGAATGTCATATTCTGACCTCTATCTTCTGCAAATGCTTTAGGCTTCAAGTGCAATGGAACCTAAGTAAAATACACATATATCCACACATATACCCACCAAAACGATCAGTAAATCACAGTTAGCAAAAGTATGGGAAATCAGATTCTGTTCACACTATGTTTTTGCTACATTATTCACTAAAGTATGAAATTATTGTAAGATAGGAAACATTGAATCACAGGTTTCATGACTGGTATCCCAGTCATCTGGTGGTTTCTCTAAGCCAAATCAATTAACTTTTTTTCCCAATTGCTTAATTTCTTTTTTTTTAAATTAATGCTCAGAGAATTTCTGTATGAATGGAGCCAACTAGTAAGAGAGATAAAGAGACATAGAGCAACAGATAGGTTGCCTACATAGCAGCAAGTCTTGGTCATTCTGGGTGATGCTACTATGAAATAAATTATTACTGCAAAGGAAATAACAGGTAACAAAGTGAATCAATAACACTGGAGATAGACAGCAGCTTATTCATAGACTTTGGTTATTCCCTTAACTGAACCTTATGGGAGGTGGAGGCATGAAAGAAAGCTCAGAAGTTACGCTGTTTGGTCTATTTGGAGAACGGCAGGTTGGGCTTGCTCTTCATCAGACTGTTCTGTCTCTCCAATGGTGAGTCTGTAGTGGTCATCGTGGTTCTTTTGAGAGTATTCCTGGGCCATCTCAAACTCTTCATCTTCGACAATTGACAGCTCAATGTTCTTTGTTGCTGGCTTGCTCTCTCTTGCAACAGGCTTCTCCTGAACATCTTCGGCTGTATTCTCTTCCACCTGAGCTGCAGGGAAAGATGCATCTGAAGGCGCCTCAGTGAAAGAACTCTCTTCATTCTCAGTCGGGGCCTTTTCACTGGCTGGTGTCTCCACTCTCTTGGTCTCTTTTTCAGCAGGGACCTCTCCTTCATGATCTTTCTTCCGACCAAAAGTGAGGGGAGATACTTTGAAAGGGGAGCTTTTCCCTGATGATGTCTTCTGGTGGTTGGTGGTGAAAGACTTCTTAATCTTCTCTCTCCTTTCCACAGATACAATCTTTGTGCCTAACTTGTTCATCTTCTTCTCGATGTTTTGGCGAGAAAAGGCTTTCTTGAGGCTATCCACTTTCTTGAGACTTGATCTTTTTATTTTCTCCGCCCTGCTTTCTTCCGCCTTTTCCTCAGTACTGTCTTCCAGGGCATCCTCTTCATTAGGCATTTCATCATCGGATGACAGGTTCACTGTATGCAAGGTCTCTTCTAGAGACTTGTTCTCATCCACAGACTCTTCCTTTCCTTCAGTTATGCTAGGAACGGGCTCTTTTGCAAACACACTGGTGGGGATCTCATTTTCTTCCTGAAAAAAAAAAAAGCTGACAATAAACATTTCATAGTCAATGCCATATACACTTTGCAAACAGCATTCACTCCTGGACCATGTTATTATCTTTTGACAACTGATGAAAGCCATGCCTTTTTTCTGTTGCGTCAATACCCGTAGACAGCAAAAGGTCATTTTAAACTCAATCACCCGTTCTCTTCTGCCTTGTGAGTGGAAATGCTTCTATATTCATAGGATGGGATGATGAATTCAGAGCTAGAAGGGACCAATTATCTTAACTATCACCTTCATTTTATAGATGAGGAAACTGAGGTCCAGAGAGGTTAGGTGAGTTGCCCATAACCACACAGGCAGTAAGTGTGAGGGAATTGAAGGGATTAGGACAGCAAGTGGTTAATTGTAGTAAATGAGTGAACCACACTGACTCCATCTTATGACTCAGTTCTGGAGCTAACTCAGGTCCCTTTCTATTCAATTATAGTCTAGTTCAAATTTTGTCCTGTGAGAAAACTTCATTCAATTTTGAAAATTGATAGAAAACCTTATTGCATTGTTTGAACCTAGCTTTGCATGGCTGGGAAACTGGACCACCTCTCCTACTACTTAGAGACCCTTAACCAAGGACCTAGGTTATGCTGATCAAAAACCTGGTCATATCCAAAGATTGATGAAAGAAGTTTTCTCACAATTGTAGATCTCAAACAACTGGAATGTCTTATCTGAAAACTGGCTTATACTGATCAATCAGTTGTTTCTATGTTTATAGATACTTTGGGGAGTAGAATATCTCCTTTTCAGATTTCAGGCGAGTAGGATACCTCCTCTTCTGATTTCAGGGAATTGCACCTGTTCATTCTCCCCTCCTAATTTGGAAAGTCCCTAATCTTTCATCCAATTAGAAATCAGATTACATAATATTGTATTGTTTCCTTTTAATTAATTGGCCTTATTTGGTTGTTTTTAATAAATAAAAGTCCATCTCTCCCTTTATTAGAGGAAGGGGCCTAGTTCCGGTTTGTTGGGCAATTGGCATACATACCCAGCTTCCAAAGCAGTACTATTTTCACTGCAGGACTTTATTGCATGATGGATTTGGACCCAACTCAGGTTGACTCCAATATTATTCTTAGAATATTTGGAAATATGAGTGAGCAGTGGGATAACTTCAGCATTTATATTTAAGTAGAGAAGGTATCATGTTTACTATGGGAGAAAAATTAGTGTCATAGAAGGAGTTCTAGACTGAGTACCAGAAGATCTAGCCTGGTTCTGTGATTTTATATATATATACATACATATATACACACATTAATTAGATTAGCAATTAATTAATTGTTAGTTAAATAGTGCCATTAATTATATATAATTTGGCACTCAGCACAATGCCTGGCACATACTAGACACTTGATAAATATTTACTGACTGAAGGACAAGTGACTTGGAGAAATCATATATCAGCTTTTTTCAACTGTAAAAACTATTTTTCCTTTCAATATTCTATGTTCATGAACTGACAAAGAACTTACTTAAACTTATTTTAATTTATATCTTCAGAGAAACCTAACAAAATAGGTCAATTGACTTTATTGTGATTAAAATGTTTAGTTAACAAGGTGATTGGCTCACTGGTGGTTATGTTTAGCCTTTTGCCATAAATTAAGACCATAAATAAAACCTGGAATTTATAGTGGCTCTTTTAAAATAATTTTTATTATGATTTTTTAAATTGCTTGGTGCAACTTTTTTAATGTTTAAGCAGGCATAGGAAAATTCTCCTATGATTTTTCCATTGTGTCTCACTTTTGAACGGCAAGGCAAAATATCAGATATATGGTTCTCCATGTTAGGATGGTTAGGAGAATGGGATGTTAGGACAATGACATTCCACACACAACAGTAATGTGAAGCAGTTAGTTGGTACAGTGGATAGAACACTGGACCTAGAGTCAGGAAGATCTGAGTTCAAATCCTGCCTCGAATACTTTACTAGTATTTGTAAATTTGTAAAATGGGGATAATACTAGCAACTATATCACAGGGCTGTTGGATCAAGGGAGAGAACCTATGTAAAATGCACTCCAAACTTTAAAGCACTATGTAACAATGCTAGCTATTTTGGGTGGGGAATGGAATTCTTAAATGTTTGGTACAGAGGTCAGAAGAGAAAAACTACTTTGCTAATTTGACTAGCTGGTTTGACTGGAAGCCTTGAGAGATAGGATATTTCAGAGTCATAAAAGTTCCTGGGCATCTTAGTTTTAAGGAGGGAATCTAGCAAAGGCATTGGACCACCAGGACAGCAACTGGAGACCCCATTGTAAGGATACTTATGTAAATAATCAGGAGGTCTTAGGGCTAAGAATAAATTAGCAAGAGGGCTAATGGTAGTTAGGGGCCTGGGTATCAATAAAGGAAGATGCTGGAGGTTATATTTGTCTGTGATATAAGCAGAAATCTAAGTAGTGGGCTATAAATATCTTCCCTAACCAGTTTAGCTGTATCTGCATTCTTGAGTATATTAATTCAATGGTTCCCTCCTTTCACTTCCAACAAAATAAATGCTATCCAAATTGTACTTTTATAAAGAAGCAAAACACTTGGTCTTTCTTTCTGCTTTTCTCTTTAATGTATATTCTGCAAGACTAGTTATAAAATGCAAGATGAGTTTATAGTAGATTTTTCAACTTTCAACTTCTCTGCCCTTTTCATTGTCTTTCTTCAGCTTTAAGGAAACTGACTGGTTTGGCACTTTTGGAATTATTCATGTAACACCAACTAACTGTGGGATAGAGGCAGGAGGAAAAATAATTCCACTCTTCTGTAAGGAGAAAGGGCATGTTATGCCACAGTTCTTTGATGCTAACTATAAAAATAAATTGAGGGAGAACAGAGATAATCCAGAAAGAATTGAATGTGTTTCTGAGCAACTGAAAGGGAGATATGTATTCTTGGCAAACCTTGGCCATTGCAAGTATTTTGTTATGACTGTGGCCTCTGTGTGTTCTGCTCATATTAATCATTGTTAATTTGATCATTTTTTGAGATTATTGTGAAGATACATATATTTTATTATGAGAATTTGTGTGTGTGTGTGTGTACGTGTGTGTGTGTGTGTGTGTGTGTGTGTGTGTGTGAAGGCTTCAAAATATTTCATTTCAAAGCAGAGAAAACACTGATATTTTGTTCAAATGATTTGAGTGGTCTTGGACAGCCTTTCTATCTTCTTTCCTCCCTTCTCCACCTTTTGCACTTCTCTAGGTTTTAATAAACAGTAGGCATAGTTTTTCAGTTAGAAATGATTGCTAAGGTGGGTGTGAGATAATATTTTGTGCTTCAAACAGCAAGTAGAATGGAAAGAAATGAACATTTTTTAAGTGCCTACTATGTACCTGGCATTGTGCTCTAAGACTTTTATAAACATCTCACTCGATCCTCACAAATGGGAGGTTAGGTGTTACCATAATTCTCATTTTACAGTTGAGGAAACTGAGGCAAACAGAGATTAAGTGAATTGCCCAGGGTCACACAGCTAGTAAAGGTCTGAGGTTTAGGTTTTTCTGACTATAGGCCCAGCACTCTTGTCTACTGCACCACCTAGTTGCTTCTGGATTGGTCCTCTTTGTTTTTTCTTTCTACCTAAAGGATAAGGGGATTCTTATTCAGCTACTACTTAGGATATCAACTCACTCCAAGAAACCAGTCTCGAGAGCATCGTTCCAAGATTTCTCCCTTCTTGGAGCTCTCCATCCTTAATCACCGATTGTTGCAATTCCAGGGCAATGTCTTTGTGCAGCTTCACAATTTGCCCAGGTTTTAGTAAACAAAATTTCTCTCTGTCTCTGTCTCTCTCTCTGTCTCTCAGTCTCTCTATATATGCATGTGTGTATATATATATAATATTATCTATACCTTATTTTAGAAAAAAATCAGATTAATTCAGGAGATAACTGGGCATCTTTCCTCTGATACTTCCTAGCTGTGTGACCATGAATAAGTCACCTAGCCTGTGAAATGATGATATAATACCCGTATAACCCATCTTATAGGGTGGTTATACAGATGCAATGAGATAATTATATGTACTCTGCTTGGTAAATCTTAAATGTCTACACAAAGTCCAGCTATTATTATTAATCTTGGACTGATATTTCAGTAGTGTTTTCAACCTTGCCAAGGATTTTACACTATCTCATTTGAGCCCCACACCACCTTTGTGAGACAGGTATTATATGTATCATTAACCTCATTTTATAGATGAGGAAAGTGAGGCTCAGCAAATTTAAGTGACTTGCCACTGCCATTGCTAGTAAAAGTGGAATTTGAACCCAGGGCTTTAGCACTCCATCAATTATGCCACCCTGCTTTATCAACTCTTACTAGAATTTTTGTGTCTTTGAAATTGCCTCAAAATGTAGTATATGACTGTCTTAGGAGATCAGCATTTTGGAGGAGTCTCAGTAGCCAGAAATAGTCAGAAAATTGGCTGCTAGATTAATTTTCTTTCTTTCTTTCTTTCTTTCTTTCTTTCTTTCTTTCTTTCTTT